GTTTTTATTTATTTTTTTATCCATCCATCCATCTTCTTCCTCTTATCCAGGGTCGGGTCGCGGGGGGAGCAGCTTCAGTAGGGAGGCCCAGACGTCCCTCTCCCAGCCACTTGGTCCAGCTCCTCCGGGGGAGTCCCAAGATGCTCCCAGGCCAGCAGAGAAACATAGTCTCTCCAGCGTGTCCTTGGTCTCCCCGTGGGCGTCCTCCCGGTGGGACGTGCCTGGAACACCTCACCAGGGAGACGTCCAGGATGCATCCTAATCTGATGGCCGAGCCACCTCTACTGGCTCCTCTCGATGTGGAGGAGCAGCGGCTCTACTCTGAGTCCTCCCTGGATGACTGAGCTCCTCCCCCTATCTCTAAGGGAGAGCCCAGACACAATAAGGAGGAAACTTATTTCAGCCGCTTGTATCCGGGATCTCGTTCTTTCGGTCATGATCCAGAGGTCATGACCTCAGATGAGGGTAGGAACGTAGATCAAAGGTAAATGGAGAGCTTTGCTTTTTGGCTCAGCTCTCTCTTCACCACAACAGACCGGTACAGCGCCCGCTTCACAGCAGACGCTGCACCAATCCGCCTATCGATCTCCCGCTCCATTTTCCCCTCATTCGTGAACAAGATCCCGTCTTAAGACGTAGAAAGTAAAGCAAGAAGCATAGAAAAGATCAAAGTCAGATGTTTTTCATATTCTAGTATCATTTATTAATGTTGTCTATTGATAATAATCATGAAATGCTTATATTATTTTAGTTTATAAATTCCATTAAACATATTAGTTAACAGAGTCATAGTTATTTAAACTGCATGAAAACATTTGATTGTGTAAAATGTGATGTTTTGATGTGAAAAAAGTTGTGAAAGATGAAACAGACCAGGATCCTTAATGAAAAACACGTTTTGTTTTAGTTTGCAAAATCACTAAAAAGAAAAGTAAACTAATTCAAACTGCTGCTTTAATATCTATTTCCTTTAATAATCCATGATCCAGGGTTCCTACCATGTTTTGTGTCTTAGGTGAGCAGATCAGGATCCTCAGTGAACTCAGGGGGCAGGAATGTCTCCTCAGATGGAAACTAAGCTGGAGACCCCAGACAGCAAATATTCATCATACTAATTAGATTAGATTAGATTCAACTTTATTGTCATTGCACAGGTACAGGTGCAAGGCAACAAAATGCAGCTTAGGTCTAACCAGAAGTGCAACAGCAGCAAGTGCAGGATAAATAATGGTTCCATAAATACAAGACATGGTTCTACTGAATAAGTATAGAGATGAATACTATTATAAACAGAATTTTACCAATAGATGAATATAATATATAGATAACTAAGACTAATGCACCTTTTTTTAAATTATTGAAAATACTGAAAATAAAAGTACCCCAAAAATTTAAACGTGATTATTTCTAACAATCTCGAGTGACGATTGGTTTGTCTCTGGAGGGGGGGGCAGCATCTGAGGTAGTCATGAAATCTGAACCGGGTTTAGACTGCTTTGATCCAGTTGAACTTTTAGAGTTAGCAAAACTATTGTCTTCATCTAAGCCTTCAACTTGGATGTTAGATCCAGTTCCAACCAGGTTATTTAAGGNCCCATTGATTTAGCTTGGAAAGCGGGGAGAATGGCGCTAGGCTTACCGCACCGTGACGTCACTGCTGGAAGATGGCAGGAGGGAGGGGCTACTATATTTGGGCAAAAATGGCCGCTCCCAGACTCAGTGATTGCCACAACAATTATTATTTTTATGTTTTACTGATTAACGCTAAAGTTTTAGGTATAAATAGTGATCCATTGATTCTTCCTTGCTGACCGGACTTTTCCTTTAAAGCTCACATTGACCATTTATGAAGTAGTAATAAAGAAAATAAGCACATTTATACTTGGTAGCTCCAACCTCACTCGAAAAGCATAAATTACTTCATGAAAATCAGTACGGTTTGCAAACAAACGATGAACTGCCTCAGCTTTAATGGATGTAAATGGAATAACTGACAAAATAACGGCTGTAGGAATGTTTATAGATCAGAGGAAAGTACTCCATTCAAACCATCATCAAATAGTGATATGAAAACTTGATACTGGACCAAATCCTATTTGCAAATAGGGACCGGTAGGAACAGCTGGGAGGAATAATGGTGTACCCAAAGGATCAATGCTGGGACTGTTTTTATTTTATATAATCGATATTTTTCATATACCAGCAAATTTAAGTTTACTTTATTTTCTGACGACACTAGGATGGTCTGCTCAGGGAAAGATCTATAGCTTCAAATGACTGAAATCCAGGGGTGGATTTAGGAAATTTGGGGCCCTATGCAGGGGGCCCTCTGAATTGAGAAGACAACATATATATTTTATAAAGGCTGCACTTTAAAAAAATTTAATTATCCAGAGAGCTGTTCTAAATGAAATGTATTTTTGTTTTCCACTTGTGTAAACAAAATGAGAAATAAATCTGTTTAAGTCTAAAACAGACCCATTATGCAGATAGAGAAATGTTGAGCCATGGGGCTGATGGTGGTTTAGGACATCAGGAACCAGTTTCCATGTTTCATCTGAACATGATAACCTGAGAACAGGATGCAGTTTTGGCTCATGGAGCAGCTGTGAGACCTCTCTGCTCTAAAACCCCCTTTCAGCCCATTGGCTCCACAGGACCCAGGAGGCGGGACTTGTCGTCCCCCCCACAGAGTTGGGAACAGTCAAAGCACAGCACAGAGGATCTGCGTGGGGGTCCACATCGGAAGAGGCATCCGCCATGGAGATCCAGGCCAAAGGCCCAGATCTACAGAAGGATCGAGGATAAGTCATGATGGATGAGGTTCAGAGCCGAGCTGCTGCAAAACAGACCTTTTGCAACACATTTCTCTCTATTTATTTTTGTAGTTCAAATTTCTATTTAAACATACTTGGTATGATACACCATATAGAAAAGAAAGATAGACGGGCCAGTATTACAGGGAAACATTTTCAGAGGCTTAGGTAGTTCCTGTCCAATAAAATAAAATACAATATATGGGTATATAAAATAAAAACAGAAGGAATATCAACAACTTCTCCTATTTAACATTACTACAGTAGATGAATAAAACAGGACAGGATAACAGTATTCCTTTAGTCAGGCTTCAAGCTCTTAGCTCTAGTTAGAAGTCAGATGTTCCATGAAAAAAGTCCCAGTTCCACAGGACCTTTACTCCTCATCCTTCCCATCATCACCTCAGAGGAGGTGGCCTCACTCATTCAGATTTTCCACTCTTGGACTCTAGGTCATTTGGTTGATTTCCAATTCCTTAATATAATTCTGAGGCATGAGGTTATTCCCACCATCTAAATTGAATTATGTTTTTTTATGTAATGTTTGGGCCTCTGTTTTATCTACAACACATTTCTCTTGAGTTTCAGAACTTATAGAGCCAGACTGGAGGAGAACGTCTCCTGAAGATCCTTTGGTGTGAGCCGCATGGAAAAGAAAAACCCATTTGCTGTGAGGCTGCTTGCTAAGCTGCAGCTTGGTGAAAACTTACGCTCTCCAAATGGACACGGACAGAAGTTTGCAGGTCTGACACCATTAGGGACAAAACAAACAATATGTCTTTAGATGATGCTGATCATTTCATGTGTTTACTGGTGAGTAAAGACAAAGCTAACAGGATG